ATGAAATAATTTATCATTTTAAATTATGATTCTGAGGATTATTATGAACATGAGAAAATGTTTATAATATATTGTTAAGTGAAAAAAATTAAAACAGGCTTTCAACAATGTGCATGCTCTTTAAAAAAACATTGAAATTTTTATAATATTGTCAACAATGGTTATCTCTAAAGGTAGTTTTAATTTCTTTCTAGCTGCCTTTTGTTTCTAAATATTCTGAGACAAAAATGTATAATCAGAAAAAAGTAAATATATAATATATAATATAAAATATACAAAAAGGTAAATATATAATATATACAATAAAAATAAATATATAATATATATAATAAAATATAATCTTATATAATAAAATCCTAATATGCAAATTGACCAAACAGTGGGATGACCGGTTGCTATGATGTGCATGACCACCAAGGGGCAGATGTTCAATTCAGGAGCTGCCCCCTGGTGGTCAGTGTGCTCCCTCAGGGGGAGTGCTACTCAGCCAGAAGCCAGGCTTACGGCTGGTGAGCACAGCGGTAATGGTGGGAGCCTCTCCCACCTCCATGGCAGTGCTAAGGACCCCTTGGGGGATGTGTCCACCTGCTAGCTTAGGCCCACTCCCCATGGCAGGTGAACATCCCTCAAGGGGTCCCAGACTGTAAGAGGGTGCAGGCCAGACTAAGGGATGGCTCCACCACCTCCCAAACCCTCTGTATGAATACTGTGCACTGGGCCTTTAGTAAAAATACAATAGATATAATAAAAATTAATATATACAATAAAATATAATAAATCTGTAACCTTTACCATAAAATATATAATATGTAATAAAATATTATTCATATATATATATATATATATATAGGTTTTTAAGTCTCCCCAAAGGCACATCTATTCTCTGAAGGAAGAAGCTTCCCAGTATGAGAACTCTGGGGAAAGACAGAGTCAGAACAAATGTTTAAAGGTAGTATCCCAGTTGTTTTGCTTCTAGCCAAAAGGTAGATGGTCAGCTATTAATATAAATATAAATTATAACTCTTAACTTCCTTCTGGAGCAAGACTTGGAATAAATAAATACATTCTAAAATATGTCTACCATTTTACTATTTACCAAGTGTTTTTAACATGAATTAACCCAGGTTAATCCTCCCAACCACTCTTTAAGTGGCCCCAAACGAGTTTATTGCTAGAGTAAAACTAAAAATTGTGACTTTAAAATTTAATAGCAGATAAAGCTACCCCTTCACATATTTTAATCTAAAGTATATACTTTTGTACTAGCAGGTTTGGCACAGTGGATAGAGCATTGGCCTATGGACCAAAGGGTCCTGAGTTTGACTCTGGTCACTTACTTACCTTGGCTGCAGACTCCTCGCTAGCCCAAGCCCTGGTTGGAATTCATGCAGGAGGTAACCAATTGATATGTTTCTTTCTCACATCAATGTTTCTCTCTGTTTTTCCCTCTCTCTTCCATTCTTCCTAAAAATCAATGGAAAAATATTCGCAGGCAAGGATTAAGAAAAAAAAAAGTGTAAACTTCTAAGAAAGCACTTATTGGTTTACTTTGTCCTGCCTGTGTTTTCAGGTGCTTCATGGTGGTGCCAGAAAAGGGATAATTCTGAGATGCCTTTTGTGTTACTATGAGCAATTATAGATATAGAAGCAAAAATCTTGTTTCTGGGTTTCTCCATGTCTATACATTTAAGCATAGAAGTAGATCCCTACATGAGAAGATGAAGATTAACTCAGTTGGTATGTATGTGTATGTGTATGTGTGTGTTTGTTTCCAAAAAATGATTACACACTTTAACAGTTGACAGGTCAATTTTGAAAATGAAATGTATTTTCATAAACACTGCCTTTATAATTACCCAAAGTATGAATATATTTTTGGAGAATATAAATATATATTAGAAGCCTAATGCATGAAGATTTTTGCAAGAATGGGCCTTCCTTTCCCCAACTGCCAGTATCACCTTCTCTCTGGCCCAGAGCCACCTTTCTGCCTTCCCATGCTGCCCAGAGATCCAGAGTGGCTGGGGCAAGGCAGGATGCTTGCGTTGTCACCATGGCAATGACATAGGCATTTTGCACCATTTAGTATCTGCATATGCAAATTAACCCGCCATCTTTGCCGGGTTGTTTTGCATACTCACTCCTGATTGGCTGGTGGGTGTCATGAAGGTACAGTCAATATGCATCTTTCTCTTTTATTAGTATAGATAAATATTATACTTTTTGCCTTAAATTTACCATCTTCTGCTCTCTCCCCATCTCAAATAACATTTTGCTCAATGAATGATGAGTGATTTCAACTCTAAGATACAAGTTGAGTAATTTCAAGTCAGTACTACAAAAGCTAGGACGTGTTTGGCAGATTTTGCAATGAACGTTCTCTCAATGATCCTGCTCCAACCTTGTTCAGGGAGAGGCTTGTCCATTAACTTTCCATTGGAAACATCCTATATAATAAAAGCCTAATATGCAAATTGTTTGACCTGGAATACAACCACTTGCTATAATGTACGCTGACCACCAGGAAGAAGCACAGAACATGGTGAGTGTGGGCAGTGCGGCACTGGCAGTGGGTGTCAGTGGAGGCACTGCCGGCCCTGATGGGCCCCAGCGAGAGCAGGGCCAGGGCGAGATGGTGCAGCAGATGAGCAAGAGGTGCCAGGCCAACACAGGTGTGAACAGGGCCCAATCGCCCTGCAGATGGTGACCAGAGGCAGTGGTAAGAAATGGGGCCACTACCTAGCTGATGAGCCAGGTGGGGGGTCCAGCCTTAATAAATTGCCCCTCAGGCAGGATGATGGAGCAGGTGAGGGGTTGGTGCCAGGCCACAGAGAGTGCCAGGTAGGGCTGTGGGGCTGTGGGGCTGTGAGGCTGGGGACACCACCTGGGGCCCAATCCCCGCAGTTAACCCAAAGCGACCCCCACCCATGCATGAATTTATGCACAGGGCCTCTAGTATATAGTAATCAGAGATTAGAACCTTACACATATTAAACCATTCTAAAACAACAAAGTCATCTACTTTCCTTCCTTTAAAATATCTAATCTCTTAATACTGTCATTTCTTTATTTTTATAGTATTTATACAATCTATTTAACTTCATTCCAACTTATAATATGATTATATACAAATATTTTTCCACCTAAATTATAAGCTGTCTTATATTTCTCTTCTTATTCATATATGCATCATTTTGTAGAACTCAGCATAATGACTTTGTACCTAGTAAGTGTTCAATATATTCAATATGTTACTTGAATTGAATTTGTTACATTGATTTACAGTCCATTTTACAAAATGCTAACAAATTAATGTACCTTAACAAACTGCTTTCATCGTACTTTTTCTGGCATAATGATCACGAGCTCCCCACTGTCACCTACTGTCAGTCTTTTTAGTGCTAGATTAATGCAAACAGTGTACTTCCTGTTTGCTCTGTGGATTTGCTCTATGTTGCCCCAAAATTCCTCTTCCTCTCACCACAGCAAGAGAGATACCTGCCAAGGTTTCAGCATCTTTAGAATGATCAGTTGTTAGTCTTTCTAGTTCTATCACGTAACTGCTCTGTAAAGTATCAAGGACTATGACTTTTACTCTATTTACAAGTCAGTAAGTTAACCTACCACAGCTTTGTGTATTTTTCGGTAGAAAACAAAGAGCTCCTATGTCAGAGAGAAAGAACATGTGTTATAGCAACAGTCCGTGCCAGAATATTTGCATTTATGCTATTTCTCTGACCCAGTAACACAAAGAAGGGCGGATGAAACCATCACATGGAGTAGATTCCATTGCAGGAGAGGAACCCTGAGCTTAGGTGACCACAGTATATGCCTACCTGCTGCTCCAGATGGAGACGCTATGTCTGTCTTCCAAGACTCTAAATAAATGTCATTTGCTGTCAAGGGAAACACAACCTCTACTTTTCAAGGATATTTGCTGTGCAAGTCTAAAGTGAGGGCAGTCAGTGACTGCTTCACAAGTTGTGCAGAAATGCAAGAGACACCTGGAGTACTGTCTCCCAACAATTCTATGCCATCCCTAGTAATTTTGGTAAAATTCTGGTAAAATTTCCCATGAGTATCCTACTCCAAGGCCAACTCTAATTGATCTGGTTGACAGAGGCTAGGACAAAATCCATTCAGTTTATCTCAGATAGCATTTAATAAAGGCTACTAAGAACAAGGCCCCAAGCATCAGGAGGAAGCCACCCTGGGGTCCAGGACTCCCAGGACCCCAGATCCAGCCACCTGAAGAGAACACATAAACCATCAGATTCTACTTTAGAAAGTCAAGTGACTTCCTCTCTAAGTTTCTGTATGGACTTTTCCATTTATTCTGACATTAATCCAGGGGATAGCAGAGTGTATTGGGAATTTTCCAAGCTCTGCCTTGGCTTATAAGAAGTAAATTTAAGAGTCCCATGCTCTACCGACTGAGCTAGCCGGGCGCTCGCTATAAGAAGTAAATTTAAAGCAATTTTGTCATCCACAATAATCCTTGACAGAGAATTGGGGTTAACCTGAATGTATCCTAGGGTAAATTTTCTGTAATTGATGGCATCAGCTTGTATCAGACACAAATTTCTAACCAGCTTTTCTAATTAGATGACACTTATCATTTGGATAGCTGTCCATCATTTAAATAACTATGCAGAGTGAACATAAATAATGAGTTAGTTATGTCACCCAGAAATGCCCCCTAATATTCAGGGATAGCTTTACATTAGAGAGAACCACAGTCATCTGAGGGCTGCATGATCTATTGTTGGTATTTCCTTAAACATTTGAAAGTCTCTTTTATGTTCACCTATAAGGTACAATCACTATGTTTTTAAGAGGGGCAAGTTAATAAACGTGTGGATTTCTCACAAGAAGTACCATCCTGAGGGCACACTTGATATCACTTGAAAAAGTTTATAATTATTAGCGCCTGCCCAATAGAATTTACATCAGTCTGATGGCCGAGGTTGATAGTACCTCCAAGGCCTCCTAGTCACAGATTTAGGTTTTCCAATTTGACTTTAATCATTGTTTTTGGAGGAACTTCCAAAGGGCAGTCAGTCCAAGCTGTCATGTATATACACACCACACTCCTGGTAGCATTTTTTTGTCCCGTGGATTAACTGGGAATATGGTGGCAAAGACATGAAAAGGTGATGACAGGTAGAAACTGGGCCATCCTCTGTTGTTTCTGATGCACCTGTCAGGAAAGTTAAGACAATATGTGATCAGCTCAGCTGGCATGGCTCAGTGGTTGAGTGTTGATCTATGAACCAGGAAGTTATGGTTCAATAACCAGTCAGGACACATGCTCAGGTTGTGGGCTTGATCTCCAGTGGGGGTTGTACAGGAGGAAGCCGATTGATGTTTCTATCTCTCTCTCTCACCCTCTTCTTTGCTCTCTGAAATCAATAAAAATATATTTTTTTAAAAAAAGAAAGTGTGATCAAGTCATGGTTGGGACTCTGTGATAAAGAATGGCAACCCAAAACTCAGTTAAAATTAAGGCATTTGCAATAGTTTGGGAAAGGCACAACAGGGCATTTTTCTTTATGAGGAAGGCCCCGGAGGCAATTCTGAAACACAGAGATCATTACTATCTGTTCCCACCAATATCTCCCAAAGTCCAAGTTGTTCCCTCCTCAGGTGCCAAGATTGTTTTTTTTATTCTATTGCCAAAAAAAAAAAAAAAAAAAAAAAAAAGGCATGTTCCTTACATGCACTCAGAAGTTCTGTCTAGGAAGGTCAGTGCAAGATGGAAAAAGTTAATTTTTATAAATTTTACAGAGACCCTTTAAGACCACCAATTTTAACCCACATGATTTCCAAAGGGGCATTCTGAAAGTGGAATACTCAACTAAGTAATTATTACTATTTTTTTATTTTATTTTATGGATTAAACAAGAGAATATAAAGGTCTGAACCAAAAATAAATTTCAATCTCTAGGTCCCTTTGGGCTAGGTTATCATTCAAAGTATATGCCAACTGGGCTGACATGGGGTTATCATTAGGGAAAAGGAAAAAAAGATGTATGATGTTAATTTCTCAGAAAAAATTTCATGCCCAAGATTAGTCATGGAGAAATAGCAAATTTTCAAAACAGGTTTATATTATTTTTTTACTCCTTTTATCCTGATCATTACCCAGGAAGCAGCTAAGAGAAGATGAAACCTCTCTAGGGACAACTCATCCTCAGAGCAAACCGCCTTGTTAAGGTGTACAAAAAATAGGAAGATACAGTCAGAAATCCTTTTCAGTCGATTCTTGAGGCATTCTAAGCTCAACAGGAGCAGATGCCTATGTATAAGGAATGTGAAAAGTCCATCAAGTGTCTCTACTATTAGCTTATTGCTGAGCGGTGTACCCCTGCACCACATTTTCAGTTTGAAAATGATATGGAAAGCTGAAAACATGGCACAGTTTATTTCAGTAGCCACGTGGTGTGGCCAGAGTTGGCTTATTGGGCTGGCAAGGCAGCACAATTACCTGCATCAGCAACATAGAGTCCTCTCATTTGTGGTGTTCAATGTGCTGCTGTGTATGGCATAAGGATGGCCCCTGGCAGATAAGGAACCTTAATATAATGGACTAATTCAGGTGAAGGGATGCCCATTAAAGCTGAAAGTCCATCTATTATATAAAAGCCCAGCAACCATTATGACAGAATGACCAAAACAACTGGTCACTCTGATGTGTATTGACTACCAGGGGGTAGATGCTCAATGCAGGAGCTGCCCCCTAGTAGTCAGTGCACTCCCATAGCAGGAGCGCCACTCAGCCAGAATCTGGGCTCATGCCTGGAGAGCATAGCGGTGTTGGTGGGAGCCTCTTCCGCCTCCATGACAGCACTAAGGAGCAGTGAGCCAAGTAGTAAAGAACAAGCACGGGGCAGTAAGGAGCAATGGATTCTGGATGTCAAGAGGGATATCCAACTGCCGGCTTAGGCCTGATCCCTGGAGGAAGAGGGCCAAAGCCAGCAGTCGGAAATTCCTCAAGAAGTCCCAGACTGCAAGAGGGTGCAGGCTGGGCTGAGGGGCCCCCACCTCCAGTGCATGACATTTCATGCACCAGGCCTCTAGTTATATAATAAAATATGTTTTTTCCAAATGTGTATGTTAAAGAACTAGCAAATTAGTTTGTTTACCTGTTTTTACTTATGTAGATACATTTGTATAATTAAAATTAAGTGTGTAGATAGAAAACATTTTATTTCACAGAAAGGTTTTCTATATGTATTATTGTAATTTTAAATTTATACTGAATAGGTCTAATAAATGTGCACATTTAACCAGACACCTCTAGTAAGTAAATGCATATGGCTCAGGAATGGATAAGTTGAAACTGCTGCAGAAAGTCATGCGGCATGTAGTGTGATCACGTGCAATCATTCACCAGAAATTGTTTACAAGTGGTGACTCTTGGATTTAAATATGTAGACTATAGCTGTAGATATGTGGTATTTCCTTATGTTAGTGAAATTACTAGGAGGCAGCTGATCCATGATGTTCCTCTGTCATCAATGTTTCTATCTCTCTCTCCCTCTCCCTTCCTGTCTCTGAAATCAATAAAAAATATATTTTAAAAGAAGAATCTTACAAAAACAAAAGAAAAACATTTTCACCCACAGAATAATCCTCATTCCCATTAGCAGTCACTAACTATGCACCACCATTTCCACCCAGCACCTGGAAACCACCAATCTATTTTCTGTCTTTATGGATTTGCCTACTCTGGACATTTCATATAAAGAGAAATTTACAGTATGTGTCCTTTTGTGTCTGGCTTCCTTCCCTTAACATAGTGATTTCAAGTTTTAGCCCTGGATTTTTTTTTTTTTTTGCATTTTTTTAATATTTGAGATATAATTCACACAACATAAAATTCACCATTTTAAAGTGTACAACTCAGTGATTTTTAGTATGTTCACATTGTTGTGCATCCATCACTACTATCTAATTCCAGAGCATTTGCACTATCCCAAGGGGAAGCTGTGATAGCAATGATTCCCAATTCTCCACTTTCTCCATCCTTGGGAAAGATTCATCTATATTATACCATGACTCTATTTCAATTCTTTTCATGGCCAAATGTTCCATATTTTATTTATCCATTCATCAGCTTGAGCTTTTAAGAATAATGCTACTATTAACATTCATGTAGCAGTTTTTATCTGGGCACATGTATTTCAGTATTCGTGGGCATATAGTTAGGTGCGGAATTGTTGAATCATATGATAACCATTCACAATGTTTAACTCTTGAAGGAGCTGCCAAACTGTTTTCTAAATCAGCTGTACCACTGTAACATACCAGGAACAATGTGTGAGGGTTCTAATTTCTCCATATCTCCATTAATCCTTGTTATTATCTTTTTATTTTAGTCATCCTAGTAATTCTGAAATCACATCTCAATGTGGTCTTGATTTGCATTTTTCAGATGATTAATGATATTAAGCAATATTTAATGTGCTTATTTGTATGCTTATGTATCTTCTTTGGAGAGATATCTATATATATCATTTGCCCATTTTTAATTGGTGTATTTATCTTTTTATTAAGCTGTAAACATTCTTCATATAGTCTAGAAGTAAATTCCTTACCATATATAAAATATGCAAATGCCATATCCTGTTCTATAGGTTGTCTTTTTGTTTTCTTCATGGTGTCCTTTGAAGTACAAAATATTTTTTTAACGAAGTCCAATTGTTCATTTTTCTTTCTTATTTTACTTAGAGTTATTTTGACATTTGAGCATGCTCTGTCTTTAAGGTAACTAAAGCATGGTTTTTGTGTAGTCTTATCTTTCCCTTTTTATTAATCTACATTCTGAAGAAAGTATTGTGAGAAAGAAAGCTAGGCAACCACACTTGTCTCCAGGTACCTAGAAGTCCTAGAGGGTTTTTGAAAACACAAATTAAATACTGTTTATTAAAGCACTCCTAAGGTTTCTGATTCAGAAGGTCTTGCGTGGGGCTTGAAAAGTTGTGTTTCTAACCCATTTCAGGTGTGTTTCTAACCCATTTGATACTGTTGGTCTGGGAACCCACATTGGAAAGCATTGTTGTTGTTTTTTCTGATGAAAACCAGCTACTTGAGAAAATGAGGAAAGAAGAAAGGATTATTCCCATAACAGAAGAGTGTGCACTTGACCCCAGATTAGGTTATATTTAAACTGATTGCTTCCATCTGACATGGCTTTGGGGGGCGGGGGGGAAGGGAAGCCAATGAAATTATCTTAGAAATTGAAATTGTGAAATTATGGCAGTAAAATATGAAACTGAAGCTGAAATAGTAGAGGTGTGGGTAATAGTTATGAGGCCATGTGCTTCTACTAGAGCTCAAAGTTTGTGAGAACAGACAAAGAGAAAAAAGGAGAGAAGCCAAGACTGAGACAGGTGCCTATTTAAAATAATGATAAAAGCTATAAAGAAAATGGAATAGGATTACCTAACTGAAAGTAAGTGGTTACAGATTTAGAGCTGGGCAGTGAGGCAGACAGCTTGCAAGTTGTATAAATAAAGAAAAGGCTACCTCTGAGGAGGTAATATTTGAGCTGAGGACTGAATGATCAGCAGCAGCCAGCCATGCAAAAATCAAGGGAAGAGAATTCCAGAGGGAATACCAAATGTAAAGGAAGGTCTAGGAGTGGGAATGTCAACAATAAAAATGGAAGCTTTGAATTAACATCTTTATAGCTCTATGACCAAAAGCCAAAATGTCACTTTCTCACCAGATCTTGCCTGAAAAATACTGGAATAGGAGATCTAGTTAATTGATTTGGTCCAAGTGCTTATCACTAAACCAATTGCTGTGGCCAGGGAGTAGGATGTTATGTAAATAAGAACTTGAGGCATGGAAACTGTCACCAGCGATGTGCTGGAAGCTAGGTAGCCACTCCAATTTGTATCTATTACATTAAGTCTCAAAGCTTCTGAGTGTGTATGTACACACACACACACACACACACACACACACACACACACACACACTTCCCCATGCATACAATTTGAAAAAAGTTCATGCTTATTATACTACTACAGGCCCAGCACACAATTAAAATGTGCGCATGTAGGGTCCCCTAGGCCTAGCCTGTGATCAGGGCCATGCCTGCCAACTCAGCGATGCCTCGCATGCACCGCAGATGCTGCCAGCACACCACAATGCTCCACGGACACTGCCAGTGCCCCAAGATGCTCTGCA